AATAATAATAATAACAAGCAAAAAGTAAAAAAGGAACGAGGTCAAAACTCAAATGCTGGATTCTCTCTTTCACCCCATGTCGGGACATCAGAAGTGATCATATTTCCTACAAAGATGAAAAGATGGGATTAGAAGTGTGCTCAAGCCTGCTACACCACACTGTATGTGTAAATGTGCATCACTACAGTAAGTTTCACCTGTTTTCTTAAATTGTTTCACGATCAACATAGTCAGGCCTATCAGGAGAAGTATCACAACAGCAATTCCCGCCCCTGCGCCAGTGTACAGCAACATGGTGGTCCCTATCGACATACCTGGCGTGGGATCACATAAAGATTTTAATGAAGCTTTAGGGATTTGTTCTCAGTGTATACTTCATGGCCAGCAGAAGTCATTGTTTTATAGTGTATGTTGATATTAGTTTGGGTTTTGCCTGGATCACACCACACAGTGTGCAAGAGAAGACTCCTATCTTAGAAAAATGGTGTCATTTATAAATTACGGGGGAAATAACATTTTAAACTACAGAGAATAATTCACCTGTGCAGCTGGGCAGGCTGTCATTCCAGATCCCAGTGGCAGAGCAAAGTATCACTGCTGTGCCATTGAGGGTGAATCCATCTTTACAGCTGAAAACGCATTCAGAGCTAAAGCTGAAATTCCCCAGAGGATGAGAGCAATTCATAGACAGGTCTGAGGAGAAGGCACGGAGGGCCTTACACTGTACAGCTAAAAAGGACAGCAACTACAATTACATAAGATCAGTGAATATGTAATAACATTCAAAGTATTGCTATGCACTTACGTTGACAGGTGGGTGGATCCTGATTCCAGTGGCCTGAGGTGTTGCACATCATAGAAGATGTTCCTTTCAGCCAGAAACCTTTATTGCATTTAAAGTCACACTGTGAGCCATAACTGAAAGGAGAGTTCAGATGGCTACAGTTCATCCTCCCGTGCTGTGGTGATTTGGCCAGCAGGGGGCATCGGCGTGCTGTGGATAACATAAAAACAGTATAGGCTTAGTACAGCTTCACTTTTGACTTTCCGGGTGAAGTTTGAAACTATTTAATGTATGGAGATTAAGAAGGACTTCATATGGATGGCAACCGTATCATGTTTTGGTTTATTACCCTGACAGCCTGGTATTTCTGTGCTCCATGTGCCCGCAGAGGTGCATTCAGTGTCAGGACTCCCAGTTAGCAGAAAGCCGTCCTCACAGGTTGATGTGCACCTGGAGCCAAAACTGAACTCGCCATGAGAATGAGAGCAGTCTAAAGTCCCATGAGAAGGAGGAGTGAGAATAGGACACCTTTCAGCTATAAAGGAAAACAACTCACAGCACATAGAGAGGAACAGAGCAGATTATTAGCTTTTTTAAAGAAAAAAGTGTAGCTGTGCAATTGAAATTATGGAAAAAGGAGTTTATCGGTCTGTTTCTGATACACTGGATATTGATACAAAGAGTGTTTTACCTAAGCAACGGGGAACAGCTCTGTTCCACCTGCCTTGAGGTGTGCACTCTGTGATAGCTGTACCATTTAGCACAAAACCTTCTGCACATGTTGATGTGCACACAGAAGCAAAACTGTACTCTCTGTGGGGATTAGAGCAGACTAAGGACCCGTGAGAGGGTGAGTTCAGAGTGGGACACCGTCTAGCTGCAAGAGGGATGAAGACACAGAGGTACCAAGACAAAGAAAAGGCATCATGCCGTTTAAACCTTTAAATTAAGCATTTATCTTTGATTGTCTGATCGCTTATTATTGATAGAGGGTTTTTTCCTACCCAGACATTGAGGT